TTATGCTTATATGCATGCATACAAGTCCTTTGGTTGATCTCTTACCCCCCTACCTCCTGCCCACCCCCCCACCTCCTGCCCTGCCTTGAATTCTTATAACACCATATGCTATGTGACCTTGGGTAAATTATATAAACCATTCTATGCCTTGGTTTTCTTATCTGTCAAATATAATTCTCAATTTAATACTATTTATTTAACCTTAATACTACTTTATAACTCTGAGAATTAGACAACAGAAAGCATAAGCAGAGCAGTGGCTCGCTATTTTTAAATGACAAACTGCAATTTTTAAAAATTTCAAACATTAAAAACAACAACAACAACAACAAAAGGTCTGTTTCTGTAAACATACCTGTTTTGAAAGCATTAACATTTTCTTCAAGCAATTTCTGCTTTTTTTTGTCAGGGGCTGTAGCAAGTACATTAGCTTCAAGTTCCTTAACTTGGACATTCAAATATTCCTCTTGCTCTGATAAAGGCTACAGAACAGTTTTAACATTCAAGGTCAATATTTTAACCCAGAAGCAACATTTCCTTTAAATATTTTGAATTAACAAAAAAAGGCATTTAAAACTTTAAGGACAACATACAAATAGAAAAACAGAAAATATGAACAATTTATCTAAAAAATGAAAACAGCCAACAAACACATAAAATCATGGGCAAATTCACTACAAAGACAAGTTAAAATGTCATTTCTATATATTAGAGAAGTAAGTTTACAATGTAGTGAATACGTTTTACAATGTACTGAAGACTACCTAGTGTGTTAAGACTTGGAAAAATAATTATAACCATCTTTTTTGAGGTCATTTTGGCCTTATGCAACAAATGCCTTAACCATTGTACAGATACTGAGTAATAATTTTAATTTTTTAGGAACCTACCCTAAGGAAATAATTGGATGAGTATATGAAGGTGTACCTAACAAGGTAACAAGGGTATTTTAAACATAGCAGTATTCATAAAAACATTTAAAATTGTATAAGCAAAAGGCTCTAACACAATTGCAAACAAAGTAAATTTTCATTGGCTTAGAGAGAAAACCCTAATTTCTTAAGTGAAAGTTAGTATGACTCATTAAAATTCCATATGTGTACTTAATATGCATATCCATATTTATCATATACATAAACATGCATGCAAACTAGGTGTTAATATTAAAAAGTTGAAGAACATACATAAAAATTGAGGGTGATATCTTTTGAGTATTTCCTGAAAACTGTGTTTTGTTTTGTTTTTTAAGAAGATGAGAGCATCATTACTTTTTTATAATTAAGAGACATTCTACTTTGAAAAGAGAATGAAAGTAAAGGGTCACATAGTTAAGAAAGCTACATTTTTGCAGAGTAAAAATGGAAAGCAGGAA